AGGGAGAATCATACGGCGTTTTGTGTACGGTTCCATACTTTCCGAATATCTTTTATCGTCAATCTACTTGAGCTGTGAGATTTTGGTTTTTGGGAAATAACGTCGCAATATAAATTTGAAAGGAAAGTATATTCTTAAATGTAGAATGAAATTCATTTAGAAAGAAGTTGAGTCATTTAGGAATTTCATAAGCTTTGACACAAGTCTCAACTACGTGTTGTAATCAGTGCCATCTGTTATTTAAAAAAGTAGTTGGAGGTACGAAGACGACGACGATGACTGAACTGAATTAAAATCATCTCCTCTGCTATTTCAATATGCCTTGATCTCGTACATCAATTGTATAGATCTTGGTGCCGATCGATTCAGAACGGGAAACCTAAACACAGAAAACTATGCAGAGGGACACTTGAACACTCTGAACTTCCACATCTAACACCTAGATACAAGAAACTACGAAGCGTAACACCTGAACACCCTGGATATCCGATATCTAGATACAAGAAACTACGGAGAGGAACACCTGAACACTCTGAACTTTCACATCCGACACCTACATACAAGAAACTACGGAGACAGCCGGTTGCCTGTACTTGGCGCGAGACTCGACCGAGTCTCTTGATCAGAACCTAGATTTCACTCGGATAATATTAAAGTAGTCAAGAATACATTGTTAGCTAATAACTATCATAAACGTATCATAGACAACGTAATAAATAAAAGATTAACTTATTTGATTAACAAAATTAACGGCAACAATGATCAACAAACAGTAATTGACAATTTAGATTATAGACGCATTATATTGATTCCATTTGTAGACTCTCTATCTTACCGACTGAAAAGGCTTTTTAGACAATACAACATTACAATTGTCAACCGTAACGACAACCAATTAAAGAGATACATAGGTACAACGAAAGATAGTATTTTACATTTTAACAAATTTAACATAGTTTATAAAATACCCTGTAGAGATTGCGATAAATGTTACATCGGGCAAACTGGTAGATATCTAAAAAGACGTATTAGAGACCACAAGTACGATTTAAAGAAAGTTACACCATCACACACAGCTTTTACATACCACATTATAGGACTAGACCATCAGTTTGATTATGACAATACCACCATATTAGCTACAGAATCTGATTACCACAAGAGATGCATTTTAGACATGATTGAGATTTTTAAAGACAAAAAGACAATTAATTATAGGAGTGACACAGAAAACCTAAGCTCAGTCTATCATAATATATTAAATAATCATATACATCAATAATTAAATATTTTCATTTTCTTTACATAGAGTCCAATAAATTATAATATAAAATACAACTATAGATAAATAGACGCTTCAAATTGCTGACAAGACTACGGTTTTGTACAATTTGACCTCTAACAGTCCTTTAAACTATAACGCCACTAATGGGCACATCTACAGTAGCTTATAATAACTGGTCGGCCATTTGGAATCGAACCAAAGACTGATACGTTCTTAAGTAAATTGTACATTGGCTTTTATTCCTTGAATTCTTGCATCCAGTTTTCTTTGATCACTTCACACGACAATCTGGTTTCATTGAGATGTAACATCCTTACCGCATATCTATAAGGTATAAAGAGAACAATTATTATTCAGATAATTAGAATTCTGTCACACATGGAAATTAGTTTTTTTCTTGTACTTATCTGTTGCAGTCAGTGCGCATATGGTACATGTGGACGATGATACGTCTCAAAAAGATATTGTACTTTATATTTTTTATTTATCGGATGTCTGTTACTTTTTTATCTTTTTACTCCTTGACTGTTAATATTCTCTAAATTGAGAGACTTGAATTTTTATAAGAGAGATGACACCGTCTCAGTGTACCTGTAAGTAACAATTATAATATATCTATTTATTTCTAGACTACATATAGCTCATAGTACTAATTCAAACAATAATTATGTTATCTCAAGTGCACAAATTTTAAGTATAAATATTTAGAATTTTTTATATACATTTTAGAAAATAATATTACCTGAAGAGGGTCTAAAACCGGGCCGAAACGTCGTGAAAACCGTGTGTTTTTTCTTTGGCTGGAAACCTGGTCAACAATCCTCACTTACAAATCATAAAAATAATGATGAGCATATAAAAATGAACTAATTATTTTCTATAGTGAGATGAAACGAATAATGTATCTGGTTAGGGATTTTTTTTTTTCATTGAATTTTCACCATTTAAGGCTATGTAAAGGTAACATTTTTAATACATCGACAATTGCTTGGCGCACGTGGTAGGGTAGTAGTCCTGTTACGTCCGACGCAACGCAACCCCATTGCCCCCCCCTCCCCTTTCAGCACCCCTTAGTACCCCACTAGCAAAGGTCAGAGATCACGACGAATGTAACCGATCCTCGACGAACATGCGTTAATTATTGTTACGTCCGACGCAACGCAACCCCATTGCCCCCCCCCCCTTCAGCACCCCCTCAGAACCCCATTAGCAACGATCGAAGACCACGATAGATGTAACCGATCCTCAGCGAACATGCGTTAATTATTGTAAATCGTAGTTTACCTATATATATATATATATATATTAATTAAGGGATATCATCATATTATATTATACTGTACACGACATCTCATACTTTCACCCATTTCCAGAAATCACACCAACACTGTGACGTTGCAGGTGAATGAGTAGGAAAAGAGAGAGATCACGGCAACCAAAGAATAAGAATGGCACGGGCAGCACTGCTGAACAGGATACCTAGAATTGAGGTGCCTAAAGAGCATTTTGCTATAGCACCGCGAATACCGCGCACAGCAGAACTCCTACCCGTCACCTTCGCACCCACCTCACCACCAAGATAATCCTGACAATGCACTAATCCAACGAAGAATCCGCGATTGAAGGCCTGTAATGAGAATTCGATCAAACGACAGGGTTCAATTGCCCCGATCATGCCGCAATACGTATCCAAATTCCCCGAAACTCCCTGACATTGCATTCAGTCCCCTCCAAACTCAAAATCTTCCTTACGAACTCCAATACCGATCATCCTCAGTTACTAATCAATCCTCCGGTAGAGCAGTGTTCCTTTTTGAGTCTTGAGCCGATTGTCCGCGCCAGTTAAGTGTTGTGCCGATGAAATACCTTAGGGCCTATTTTAATCTAGCTTGCCTTAGGACCCAAGCGAAAAGTGTATC